AACACACAGGTAGAAATGTGTTGCCATTTGTACACCAGAGCACTGCCATTTTTGTTGGACAGAAATCTGCCTTCTTTCCCTTTCCACTTATTTATTATCAAGTATGTTTATATAGTTCACATACTTTTACATAGGACAAAATTCTATATGTAATTTTTTAAAATCATAAGGAAAACCAAGACTCTAAGCTAAACAACAACTAACAAAATCATCAGCAAAATCAGACAAATAAATTAGAAAATAAGGAGTACAAATAAATCAAAACAAACTAGAACAAAACAATGGAATTTAAATTCCAGAATGGTAATTGACCTGTGTTTAAAAGTCTCAGGGCCAAAGTAGATTTGATGGTGTCCTGGTAGCCACCACTGCCATTTGAAAATGATTTAAAAATGCTGCAAGGGCCTGACCTTGATAGGGCCCACATCTAGGCAGGATCAGGAACTCTTGTTCCTCCCCCCACATGCCATATCAAGTGCCAAATGGGATGTTTTGGCACTTGAAAATGCACACGGGGGGGGGGGAGCAGTATTTTTATGTAACTTCGACAACCTTGTGGTGGTCACCAGGATGTCATAATGTCTAGTTTGGTCCTCAGAGTGGCAGAAATGTATTTCATCACCTTCTTTCACTTGTGAAGTTGCCTTTTACTGAATCAAAGCACTGGTTCCTCTAGTTCAGTATTACCTAGAATGGCAGCAGCTTTCCAAAGTCTCTCACAGAAGCCTTTCTCAGTTTAGCTACCAGAGATCTGTTAACTGGAGAGCTATACACCCTCCTCATATATGGACTTTCTTGCATACTATACTCTTTTTTTGCCGAATCTATTTTTATAATAGGATTGATCCAACCAGCTTTTTTACCAGGGGAGAAAGGAACCCCCTTTGACCACCAAAAGTCTGTGCTGGGGATTATGGGACCTGCCTGGACAACAGCCAAGTGGGATGTGGGGCTGTAATATTGAAGGGAATTTGTTCAAGACTAAGTATGAAATCCAATCTATTTTAAATATTTTTCATTCTTTGTGTGAGATGAAACCAGGGATATTACACTTGAAATAATATTGAGCAATAATAGTTATCATTTGTATAGCACTACATTTTACTTATCTTATTAGTCTTGGTGAGAATCCTGTAGCAGTTAGAAAAGGCAGGCAAGAGATGTGTGTGGGAATGTCTGCGAAGGAACTCCTGATTTAGTTATGCAAACCCTTAATGATATATGATTAATATAAAGTTTGCTTTTAAATTAGCATGGGTATTTGAAGATTTAGAACATTAGTCAGATCTGCTGTTGCAACTGGCAGTACTTTGCCCTTTTGGTCTCCAATGAACAGCATGGTTATGCAACTGGAATTCAAGGGATGATGCCACTGATAATTCTGGATAGAGGATTCTGCTTACTCTGCCACTGCAATTTTGGTTTTGCATTGCTTGAAACAGTAAAACTTGTTCTGTCAGGTCGAGCAAATAAACATAGCTTGAAGGCAAATGAAACAGATTAAGAAATATCATTTTTATGTAGCCACTTTTCAGACTGTGACTAGATTGTGTCTTTATAAAATAGCTGCCATATGACAGACTGACAGACTGATACACAGCTATGTAGTAGTTGATTCTGGGGAGTTCAATTGTATTTGGAAACAAGTGCACTGAGGATTCCAGGGTAAACATTTCTGCCCACATGAGAGCCAGCATAGTGTAGCTGTTCTAGTGTCAGGTTAGATTCTGACTGTCTCAGGTTCAAATCCTCACTCTGCTAACAAAGCTCACTGGATGGCATGGGACCAGTCACTCTCTCTCATCCTTACCCACCTCACGGAATTATTGTGAAAAAACGGAGGAGGGGAAAATGGTGTATGTCACTTGAGCTCGGAGGAAGGGTGGGATAAAAACAGACCAAATAAAATGTGTGTGGAAATCAGTGCAAGAGACTTTAAACGTTTCTGTGGTCTTCAAGGACAGGCATGCCCATGCAAACTGTTGCAAAATAAAGTAAGAAAGAGGTAATAAAAAGATGAAACAATACATTAAAAATAATCTTTTTAAGCAACAATATTTCTCCTTTTTTTAGAGTGTTTAGCTAATGCACTCTCAGCCTATAACCAAACACACAGTTAAGAAAACGTAAGTGCCTTTAAGTTTTCTTAAGAAGGTGGTGGTGGTTTCCTCTGAATTTCTGTCTCCTGCTACATTCCATATCAGGAGACCCTCAGGAACAGCATAATGGTTTGCAGTGGGAGGGGGATGGAAATCACCACACTCTTAAACTAACTTCAGTGCTCTTACAGCTTATTAATGAGGCTGGATACAAATCAGCATCCAGAGTTCTAGCCATCATCAATTGCTCTTCTCTGCAGTTTATGGGAAGTTTAGATATTAGCAGGATTTTGCTTGACTGATCTTTGTAGGACAAGGCCTGTGGCTCCCACACATTAGTATGGGCCCTGAATTAATAGATTTTTTGGCTTTGTTTTTTTTTAAGACATCTGGTTATCCTGTTCTATATGCAAATCTGAATTTGTTTGTGGCCTCCTCAGAATGTGTGCTTTCAATGTCAGAACTGAGTCCTGGAGGATAAAAGTGCCTCTGAGCCTCTGAGCACACACAGAATTGTCTTTCCCATATCACTGAGAAGCACTGCAGTATACCAGCAGGGCAGCAAGACAGGAAGTTTCCAAGTCTCATCTCTGCCATAAACCAACTAGATGTCATTTCATCCTCAGACCTTTCATCTGCAATAATTATAGCAGTTTTACAAAAGTGTTACAATGAGATTATATTTGTGAAGTGCTTTGAAATCCGGCTACTTACCCGGTGGCTGACCACAGCCTCGTCGCCAGGGAGCCACCCTTGCCTCCCCTGGAAAGAGGGAGGGAGGGAGGGAGGCACAGCTTGCAGGAACCTTCTGAGAGGAAGGAGCCAGTGAGCTAGATCCGCCGCCTCCTCCTCCCACTCCCCAGTCGTCGGCCCTTAAACTGTGCGGTTTAGGGGGTTGGATATCCAGGGCATATCCCGTTAGCTGTATCGACCAGGTGAGAGCCAACTGCTGTTGACTCCACATAAGGGCAGGGTGGCTTGCCCATTATGCGGGAAAGCCAGGGGTTGTAGGACCCTTGGCCTTTGCCATGCCACTTGTTAGTTATATGCCCTTGCTGTTTTAAGTTATAAGTTAAAGTGGCCCTTTAGTTTACCCAACCTTTGGTGTTTGTCTCTTTCTTCCGACTGGGGGGCAGACTGGTAAGTGCTGTATACATTGTATAGATATATTTATATCATTTCTATCCTGCTCTCTCCAGCAGAGTGCTGGAGCTGATTTACAGTCAATTAAAAACAATATAAATCATTTAAGAAGACAAACATAAAATAACCACTCTTCGAAACCATACTAAAATACTCAAAACAAATGCTAAGTATGGGAAATTGGAACACTTTTTCCCCCCTTTGAAATTAAGCACTGTTTCTTAACCAGACCTGCAGTGCTACCAATACAGGTCTCAAGGCTGCTGCATCAAGGAAGCAAGTTTCACTGAGCTAAGCGAGACTTACTTCCAAGCATACACAGGCTCACTCAGTAAGCAACTAAGAGATGGAGGAAACGTATAGAACATCTAAAATGCCTACACTCTCACAGTGTAGTAGATAGTACCTTATGGTTCTTGCTTGTTTCAGAAATAACAGCTTGGGGGTGTGTGTTTGCGTATAGGAATCTCTTCCTTTCTAATCGCAGTAAATAAGGTGGGAGAGCGACGCATTTCTCCAAACCATTTAATCTGGGGTCATTCACTGCAATTTGGGGGAGCCCATAATTTACAGTGCGAAGCCGATGCAGAATAACCCCAGCCCAACACCATTGGTGAGCTCTGCTCGGGAATGCCCAGTCAGACACGTGACAGCCTTGCAGCGCTAGCCTTTAAACCCCAAGTGGGTTCAACTCTGCACAGGACCGCGGTGCTAACATTGTCTCCTCCTCCTCCTTTCAGTACCTGCCGCTGTGCAAAGGGAAACCTGTGTGAACCCCCCTCCCGCATTCCTGAACGGTTTAAAAAAAGGTGTGAAGCTGACTCAAGCGAAGCGAAAGATAGCCTCACCTCGCTTCCCTCTCCCTCGAAAGCTTTATATGGTCTGCGCGCCTTTAAGGTGCCCCGCCACCAATAATTTTCTGGCTGACGGCCTGGGCTGCCCTTAACGCAAGCCTCATTCAAGGGACCGCCTCCGGGAGTCTCAAGGGCACGGACGTCGCTTGCTGTCGCCTTCTTTCCTCCCCCCCGGTCTCTGGTGGAATGAGAGAAAGAGGCATGGGGGGGGGGGAGCAAAGGCAGGGAGGGAGGCACCCCCACGGCTAGCCTGACTCCCTGCAGGGCTATTCCTCCTTGCCAGTCAGTCAACAACCCCCTTCGCCGAGTTTGACTGAGGTAAAACGTGCGTCACTGCAGCCCAGCGTGCACAACGTCACTCTGTTGCTCCCAGAGCCACGAGGACTAAAGTTAGCTCCAGTGACCGACAGCCGCATCCCTCGCTCGGCGGAGGGAACCCTTCCCCCCCCCGCCCCCGTTGCCGTTTCCTTTCGGCCCTCAGCCCGAGGAGGCAGCAGAGGTTTGTGGGTAAAGCGGAGGCCATAGCAGCAGCCACCCTAGCGATAGTCTGTCCGACGCGGAAGGGGGGGAAATAAACTAAGGCGACAACACGGGTTGCCTCAGCCGGCGGGTTGCACCGCCGAACCAGGGCCCGTCAGCTGTAAAAGGAGGGAACACGAAAGCCCCAGAGAGCGAGCGAGCGAGCGAGCGAGAGCCCGGCAAGGCGGTCCCAGGCCCTCCTTCTCTTCCTCGCCACAGAGGAAGAGGGGGAGGGAAGAAGCCAGCCAGGTTCCTCTACTGTTGCCAGCCTGCCTTCCCTCTCCCCACCCTATCTCTCCCCCCCCCCAACGGGTACTGACCTGGTGCAAAATGGCCGAGAGAACCGCATAGGGAGGGGGGGAGACCG